CGTGTGTGTGTCTTGTTGACTGTCTCCTATTCTCCTCGTGTGTGTGTCTTGTTGACTGTCTGCTATTCTCCTTGTGTGTGTGTCTGGTTGAATGTCTGCTGTTCTCCTCGTGTGTGTGTCTGGTTGACTGTCTGCTGTTCTTGTGTGTGTGTCTTGTTGACTGTCTGCTGTTCTTGTGTGTGTATCTGGTTGAATGTCTGCTGTTCTCCTTGTGTGTGTATCTGGTTTACTGTCTGCTATTCTCCTTGTGTGTGTGTCTTGTTGACTGTCTGCTATTCTCCTTGTGTGTGTATCTGGTTAAATGTCTGCTGTTCTCCTTGTGTGTGTGTGTCTGGTTGAATGTTTGCTGTTCTCCTCGTGTGTGTATCTGGTTGACTGTCTGCTGTTCTCCTTGTGTGTGTGTCTGGTTCAATGTTTGCTGTTCTCTCTTTCTTTTGAACTCTTCCTCCCCTATAAGCTCTCAACAGAGGGTTGTCCCTTCCTCCTTCTCTTCTCCAAGTCTCCATGTACTAAACTCTAGGGGAAGAGTCTTCAGCAAGAGAAGGGTAAGGAAATATGTGTTGATCATGGGTCCTGGGAACCTCCAATTTGGGCAGTCAGTCCAGTGACTGCTTCCCCTCTGATGTCCTGGGCTGCTCTCATGGATCGGAGCTCTCAGGGCAGCTGTGACTTCCATAGCTCCTTCCCCTAAACCCCAGCAGTCTTCCTCTACATCAGTGGTTCTCAACCTGCGGGTCATGACACACAGGAACTGTATTAAAGGCCCACGGCATTAGGAAGGTTGAGAACCACTGCTCTACCTGGTCAGATCAATGTGAAAGGTGTGTAAGTAACTTAGAGGTTTATTCAAAGAAAGGTGTGTATAGCACTTATTTCTGTTTTAGTTCATTTAACAATATAAATTGTTTGGCATCAGATATATTCTATTGTAACAGAGCTGAATGATATGTTATAACAGATATATTTTGTTATAACAGACCTAAATGCTCAGGAATCCATAGTGTCCTCCTCAGCTCCAATCTGTTAAAATAATCGAAAGCCCACATTTTGTAAATTGCCTTACATGGTTATTGTGTTTTTCAATTAGATGAGACTAAGTGTCACCCTGCCCAGTGGTCAGGTGTCTTTGTGTCCACTTGCCTTTTCCTTGAAGGGGCTGTCAGATGGAGACCCTTGAAGTTTGTTCAGGAAGAATCAGTCTGTCATAGAATTTTAAGGAATCCTCAACAAAGCAATGGATCTATAACTGGAGGGTTGCCCTTTTTATAAATAAAATAAACAATATTTTAACGCATTCGTAGCTAATTGTCTGTAAGGGCTCAAAAAATGTAAATAGTTTCACAGAAATTGTCCACTACTTGTAATAGGATTAAAACTGAGTGGTGAAGATTCCGAGATCCTCCCGGAGCTGCTGCTTCGTAGAGAAAGGCCAGTCTCTGCAAAGATTGAAGTTGTTGGGGAGAGTCTGAGGGGTCACAAAACAAAAGGTGACCAGCAGGGGGGCTGTAAAGTAGAGACCTTTCCACAGACGCCATCAGGAGAATGGGCACTTGAGAGTTTGCAGACGAAATTCTCAGTTTTGAATAGTTAAGTTGTTGAATCTGCTTCCTTTTCATCCTTCACAACTAGACCTGAGCTGTTTTTAATCCCCCTGCTGCAGCAGAAGCCATTCACTGAGCACAGACTGCTCAGGAATCTACTGTGCTCCCTCCAGATTGCGTGTGAGACTGTTCATTTTGCACTTCATTTTTCCCGAATTGATTCCTTGGTAAGGTGGAACTTCCTCTGGAATAATGATGCACGAGGATGCAGGGCAGCAGCTGGACGAGCATGGACTTGTCAGACGTCCTTCCTTCTCGTTCTGATGCTTCCAATAGTTAACTTCATGAGTTTGCACAAAAAGCAAAACAAAATCTGATTACATCTTCTTATCTGTAAACCAAGATTTATAAAACACTTCCAGGTTTGCAGCTGCATAATTAAAATATGCAATTCTCTCACTAGAGTTGTCTGTCATTGTTGGTGACTGTTTGGGGTAGCCAGGGAAGGCGCCCCAAGAGTGGGGACTTGGATCTGTCTTCGTTGGTCACTAGCTTTGTTTTGTAATATGTTTTCATTTAAATGATGTATAAATTTGTAGAGCATTATAGAAATTTACTTTGTACTGTTTAATCCATTGAAACAGACTGTATTGGGCATTAGACCCATTAAGTAGTTGTTAAATACTGGTAGCTACTTTGATTATATATTAAGCTCTTCTAGAGTTCCTACTTCTGAATTCCTAATCAGAAGTTTCTAATTTGGTTTCTTGCTAGATTCATGTTTTTCTTAAAAATCCCAGTCATAGTCTATCCCAGAATAAGACCATATAAAAATGAATTAATAGCGTGGTAGACTAAGCTTAGACTTCAAATCAGCTATATTCAAATCAGATATATTCATTGAATATATCTATATTCAAGGCCTAAGTCTGTTGGTTTCTAGCTATATAAGCCTATTCAAACTTCAGAAATTGCTTATCTTCCTCTGGCCTCAGTTTCCTACTTGTATTATATATTTGTTTCATGATGTGTATTTTGTTAACTTGCATTTTGTCTCTGATGTGGTCAGACACATATGTTACCATTGGTGTCTTACTTTCCTCTTTGAAATAATTTTATGTTTAGACAAAGACTCTAGTTCAAGGGCTCTGTAAGGGAAAGACACTAGGTATTCCAGAAAAATTTATGCATAAAGACATTGAGGGGGGGAAATAAACAGCAGAAGAGAGAAATGATGACTTTTTTCTGTTTTTCTGACTTCTGTCCTCCTCGCATTGATGAGAACATTCAGATAACTATTCTAATATAAATGTTGCGTTGTCATTTGTCTCCGGAATCAGAACCTAAACTTGATAAGAGCATAATTCATGTCAAGTCATAACTGGTGTTTGATGAGTGAATGTGTTTCTTTTTAATGAAGTAGAAAATAAATTTAATTTTGTTGAATATTTTGTTTCCTAGTTATCACACGAAGTAGCCCTCAGAAGTCAACCTATAACTGAACAGTATCAAGGACTTGAGAGATTCTTTATTTTTGATAAAAATGAAAGCATCAACTTACCTCCTTCTCATAGTTTAGAATGCAGTTGTCCCAGTCCTAGGATTACACTGGCAGGTAAATTCATACAAAATCTGATGACCAGCTAACCAAATTTCTAACTTTTTTTTATGACTTAACTTTTTGTGTGTAATTTATTGTTTCAGATTCATTGAGGGTACAAAGAATTAAGTAACTCTGTTTGCATTTGTTAGGTCAAGTTCTTCTTTAATTGTGTCCCACCCCCAAGAGGTGTGCCCTACAACCATGACCCCCATCTCCCTCCTTCTTCCCCTCTCCCAGAACCCTCATTCCCCTGCCCCCAGCTTGAATTGATTTGAGTTTTTCTCTTATGAGGGTGTGTATTAGATCATCCACTGGCTTCATATTAGAATTGAGCACATTGGATTCTTGCCTCTCCATTCTTGGGGTGGGTTACTAAGAACAATGTGTTCTAACTCTAACTCATGTTTTTTAAGACTCTGCCTTCATCTTAGGAAATACTCAGCAGTTCTGTTCAATGAATGAAATAATTTCTTTCTTGCCTAACTAGAATTATTAACCTTGTGTGAGTTGCCTCATATTTATATTTCAGGCCACCATCATAATGTGACAAAACATGACTCTATTAGAACTGGTGGGAGATTATTTTTAAATTCAGAAGTGTGGTTCTTACTAAATTCTAAAATAGTAGAAACTCTTTTTTTTAAATTAAATCATAGCTGAGTATATTAATGCAATCATGGGGTACAGTGTGGTGTTTTCATATATAATTTGAAATATTTTCATCAATCTGATTAACATAACCTTCATGTCATTTTCTTTTAGGTATTATATACTTATTCTTAAATTCTGTCTTAAGAATGTGTCTCAAAACCTCTGTGAAATTTCTCAGACATCCATAATTTCCCTTTCTTTTCCATTTTTGTATTGTGATAGAATATACATAATGTATAAATTAGCATCTTAATCATTTTTAATTGTATAGTTCAGTAGCATCAAATACATGTAGGATGTTGTGTAGCCATTACCACCATTCATCTCTAGAATTATTTTTATCTTGCAAAACTGAAACTCTGTACCAATTAAACAGTAAGCCATCATTCCTCCCTGCCCCCAGACCCTAGCCTAGTACTTTGGCCTTTTTTGTGACTAGTTTTTATTTCACTTAGGGTAGGGTCTTCAGGTTTCCTGCACATTAAAGCATATGTCAGAATTTCCTTTCTATTTCATAAAGAAACAAAAAATGTCAAAAAGTGAGGATAGAGGGTCTGAAGTTCTGTCTGCCCAGCTTCTTGTTTATGAAACTCCCCAGTCCCAAAACTCTGTGGAATATAGGTTGCAAGTCACTGTTAAAGTTTAAAGGTATTTGTTTTTAAAGAAGCATCCCCCCTGTTCAAGGCTGAATAATATTCCACTGTATGGATATACCACACCCACTCGGCCATCAGTAGACACTTGGGGGTGACTTGTACATTTTAGCTATGGTGAATAACGCTGCTAAGAACATGAGTCATACGATAGCTCTTCAAGACTCTACTTTCAATTCTATTGGGTATAAATGCCAAAGTGGGATTGCCGTATTATGTGATAATTTGATTTTTAATTTTGTGAGGAACAGCCATAACATTTTCCATAGTTTATATTTATGCCAAAAGGACACAAGAGTTCTTGACAATACTTGTTATTATTATTTTTTTTTCCAAATAGTACTTATTCTCCCGGATCTCAGATGGCATTCATAGTATCATGTTAGTTTGTATTTGCATTTCTGTAACAATTAATGATATTAATGGCTAAAAATGTGCTTTAGAAAAAATGTTTCTCTTAAGAAAAATGTCTGTTTGAGCCCTTTGCTCATTTTTAATTGGTTTGCTTGTTATGTTGTCGAGTTTTAAGAGTTTTTCACTGTAGTCTGGATGTTATTTCCTTAGAAGATATATATCTTCCCATTCTTTGGGCTGCCTATTTACTCTTTGATAGTATTTTTTGATGCAGATTTTACAACATTTTTCCTAAAGTCCAACTTGTACTGTTTTGTTGCTGTTGTTTCTTGTGCTTTCAGAATCATATTTAAGAAATCAATTCCAAAGCCAATATCATAGCTTTTGCCCTACGTTTTCCTCTAAAAGTTTTATAGTTTTAGATCTCAGATCATGTATTTAGGTCTTTGATCCATTGTGAGTTGATTTTGTACATGGTGTTAGGTAAAGTTCCACATTTATTCTTCTGCATATGCGTGTTAGGCATTTCAGAACTATTTACTGAACAGACTACTCCTTCCCCATTGAATGATCTGGGCACCTTGTCCAAAATGATTTGACTAAGACAATAGATTGTGTGTGTTCTTTCTTTATCACCAAGAACGTTGATAAACATGTAAAGTACAGCACATACGAATTGACTTGATTTAGCCATTCCACAATGTATGTGTATTTCAAAACGCCATGTCTTAGACCATGATTATATACAACTTTTGTGGAATTGTAACAGTGATAATTTGACCATATGTGTGGGTTTATTTCTGGGTTGTCTATTCCTTGGATCTGTATATCTGTCTTTGTGCCAGGACCCTGCTGTTTTGATTACTGTAACTTTATAGTTAAGTTTTAAAATCAGAAAGCATGAGTCCTACAGCTTTGTTCTTGTTTTTCAAGATTATTACTGAGGGTCCCTGTGACTCCCTGTGAATTTCAGGATGGATTTGTGTATTGCTACAAAAATAACATCATTGGGTTTTTGATGGGAATTACCTTGAATCTGTGGATTGTGTTGGTAGCATTGACACTTTAACACTCTCAAGTCTTCCAGTCCATGAACATGGGTGTGTTTCCCTTTATTTGTGTCTTCTTTAATTTATTTTGGTAACACTTTATACTTTTTATTTTCCAAGTCTTTTACCCCATTGGTTAAGTTAATGCCTAAGTATTTGACTCTTTTCAATGATATTGTAAATGGAATTGCCTTCTCAATTTTTTTCCAGATTGTTCACCATCAATGTTTATAGAAACGCAATTGCTTTTTGCCTCTTAACTTTATATCCTGCTACTGGTTGAGCTCATTTATTTGTTCTAACAGTTGTTTTTTTTTAATGAAATACTTAGTTTTCTACTTCAGATCACATTATCTGTGAATAAAAATAATTTTACTTCTTCCCTTCCAATTTTTGTGCCTCTTATTTTTTCTTGTCTAAATGCTCTGACTAGAAGTTCTAACACTGTATTGGATAGAAATGGTGAAAGTGGCCTCCCCTGCCTGCTCCAGACCTTAGCAGGGAAGCTATTGGGTTTTCACCATTGATTATGTTTGCTGTGAATTTTTCATGCGTGGCTTTTATTATGTGAGGGCAGTTTCCTTCTGTTCCTGGGTTTCTGAGTGTTCTTATTAAAGGGTATTGAATTTTGCAAATGCTTTTGCTGCATAATTTATAATGATCCTAGTTTTTTCCCTCCATTCTGTTGATATGTGAATTACACTGATGGGTTTTAACATGTTGAAATGTCTTTACATTTCAGGAATAAATCTCACTAGATCATGGTGTATATTCTTTTTAATATGTTGCTGAATTTGGCTTGCTGGTATTTTGGTGAAGATTTTTGCATCACTGTTCTTAAGGATTATTGTTTTTTCATTTTTGTTTTTCTTTTAGTGTCTTTCTTTCATACTAGGGTAGTGGTGACCTCATAAAATTAGTTTGTGTCCCTCCTCTTCAATTTTTTGGGAAAGTTTGAGGAGGCTCAGTATTAGTTCCTCTTTAAACAGGTTGATAAACTCACCAGTGAAGTCATTCAGTATAGGACTTTTCTTTGTAGAGAGATTTTGGATTACAGGTTTAATCTCCTTACTAGTTATATGTATATTCAGATTTATATATATACAGTCATGTGTATATATGCTTTATATAAACAGTTACTCAGATTTTCTTTTTTATGTTTTTATGATTTTTTTTCCTACTATAGGTTGTATTATTATATACCATGTTTGTTTCTAATTAAAGCATATATAGATGTATGTGTGTATGTTTTCATTCAAACATATGTTTGCAATTCATAGTTAATTTTTAAAATCAGGATATCTAAAAATAATGGTTTTTATTATATGATTATGAGATTTTATGTTACATAATATATCTCACTGTTAAGAATATTCGTTGTTCAGTTAAATGTTTTCTAGTGAGACAAAAAATATGATAAAGTAAAAGCATGGACTTGTTCTTTTTAAATTTTATATTATTGTACCATTTTTCCATTTCAAAGACAGAGAATGGATCCCAGACCACAGCTTAAGTGAAAATGCTGACGATGCCATTGTCTTAGGTGTTCTGAAGGGTGCTCAGAATCCAACATCAGATGGAGAACAGCTCGTGATGGGTAAGACTGACTCTACGGCAGCTGCACTACGATGGTGACTTGTTTGTTCAGTAATTTGCTTCTTTAGTTGCTTAGGCACCTGAAAATCAGCTTTTTTAGTAACATAATTTAAACTTATTCATTTTAAATGAATGTCCTGGATTTTTCTTCCAAAACTAAAACTCCAACGGTTCTCATTATTCTTCCCAAATGACATTAATTACAGTCTTATTTATTTTCTAGAACAGTCTATTAGGGAATAATATTTGTAAAATGTTGCTCAGGGTATTTTGAACAATCCTATAAAACACACATTCAGATTTATTACACACTCAGAAAGCAGGTGCATTTATATCTGATTTTGCACTCTTTGGCTTTCACGCTAGGATCAGACAGAGCAGTGTGTGGAATGATGGACTCAGGTGAAGGTTGTGTTCAGCTGGGTTCGATGGCTCAGTGCTGAACCTAATACCAGGCATGTGTACCGTGGATATTGACTTTAATTCGTTAACTCCATTCTCTGACCAAAGTTAGATTTTCTGTGGGATAATTCTTTTGGCATGCTGAATGTCTAATGTATTTTTTTCAAATAAGTTTATACAGACTATATAACCCCCTTAAAATCATGAGCATTTTTAGGATTTTATTGTTATTTCATTATATCTGCTAAAGTAGGTTTTGTTCATGCTGAATTTCATAGAAAGTTGCAGTAGATAACTAAGAAATTAAGGCAACTCCACACGTGTGTTGAATAAATTAAACTCTGCCTTGGGGATAAAGGGACAACATAGGTGATGTTCCCTGGCTTTAGGGAACTCACGGTTTAAGAGGAATACTTGTCAAAGTGGGCATTTTGCCTTGGCTTAAAGGCGTTCAGCCAGAAATTTAATTACAAACGACTTGCCTATATGTATTAGATTTATATGTCTCTCCTGCTCTACATGGTATGATTAACACTCCTTGGCTGGCTCAGATCCCTTCCATAGCATTTATTTTGAGAATCTATCAGATATAAAAAAATTTTTAGTGGAAAAAAAATCCATTTATGATAAATATTTGGGCTCTGTAATTAGTTACGTGCTCACATCAACGTCTAGAGCAGCTTCAAAACTTCTGTTTGTTCCTTCCAAGGCCGTTGGGAGACACTGTTGTGAGTTACTAGGTATTGACGAAAACAAATTCAACGAGAAATTTGTGACAAATGTCTTTAGACAAAACTTTGTTTCTATTTTTTTTAATTTTAAGATTAATATGAGGGTACAAATGACTCGGTTACAATGTTTGCACTGCTAGGCAAGGTCCCTGCTGTAAATAAGTAGCCAAATGCTTTTATGTAGCAATTTGGCCAGATCAGTAGAAACCAATAATTTGCAATAAAAAACAAACAGCACCTACCTTAGGCCAGATGCTGGTGATAGAAAATACACTGTTGTTTTTATTGCCCGAGAGCATAGAGCCCAGCCCGGAAAGGCTCTCACACAGGGGTGTGAGCAGAATCACCCGGGGAGCCTGTTACAATGCAGATTATGGATCTCACTCTCAAAGATTCTGATTCATCACGGCTGAGGGAAAGGCTGGAGAAATTGCTTTAATGTTATCCACAACTCTCTGTTACGCTGATCTAGATAGTCCAAAAATCATATGTTGAGAAAAGCACACAAATCATACCATGTGTGTCATATAAATTCTATAAAAGGACTATGAATAATGTACTTTTGGAGAGTGATAACTAATGATGGAATGTTTTATCAGTTATAACAGGTAGATAAACACCCAGTCTTTTTAGGAATAGAGATGATGAAATAATGATTTTTCTATTGAAAAGTATAGAGTATTAGCAACATGTTAGAGATGAGGTGACATTTCAGTTAAAAAATTCTTTAGAAAGTGGTAACATTTACCAGTTAGGGGAGTGGAGAAATGGCTTTCTGGATGGGGGATAGTGGCACAAAATAAAATAAAAATTTCCTGCCTCTGCCACAAGTTACAGAAATGTTATATTTTAAACTGATGCCAGTATATAAAGAAATTGCCATGTCCTTAGGTTTTAAAGTTTGTGAATGTATAAACACGGCAGCCACACGATAGTGATAGCTGTGACAGTTGAGCAAGTTCACTGACTCCCCACCCCGTTCTCCTGTCTGCAAATGGCAGCACCTTCCAAACACTGATGAACTCTGCAGCCCGGGGGTCATTGTGACCCCCTCACCAGATCCCACGGATCCCTGGATTCTGCTGATTACAGCTCCAACTTCAAGTTCAAATCTCACCACTTTTACTTGCACTGATCTCCCGTTTTTCTTTTCACCACTCCCAAGGCCACACTGTCCTGATGAATTCCCACCAAATTATGTTGTTTATAGTCAGTGAATGAATTTTTTATATTTAAAGTTATAAGATTTTTGTATTTATGCTTTATAGGGTGTGAATCCCACTTCCCATAAATTTAAACCATAAATTTTATCATGTCATTGTTGTGGCCGAAAAGCGACCCATAACTTCCTAGAAAAGGAAGAAAAATGTAGATTCCTTACGCTGAGTCACCTGGCGACCCTGGGGCGGCCCCCCGCCCCTCCCCTCTCTCATCTGCATCCTCTCCACCTGGCAGCCACCAGGCTCCCTTCCTGTTTTAGCCCGGGCTGCTTCCTCGTTTAGCCTGAGAGTTTGCTCTTCGTGCTGATCCAGGATGCTGTGACCGTCGTCCTGCACACTCTTCTCCACCTGTTGCTCTTTTCATGTCAGGCCAGATGCTGCCTCCTCTGAAAGGCCCTCTGAGATGAACCGACCTAACGCTGCCTTTCAGTCTCTCTGTCATGTTTACCTTTGTTTTTCTTTCTCTTGGAGTCCACCGACACCTAATATTGTCTTTATTTTTCCTTCTGTCTTCCACTCTCGGTTGGCAGAAGGCAGAGACCAGCCTGTGCTGCCCACTGGTGTATCCTGGTGATAGGACAGGGCCTGGCCCACCATCAGCACTCAGGGAAGCTTTCGGAGTTAGTGGAGCAGGACGTAGGGCTGCGTGTTCTTGTGAAGTTCACCCTGAGGACAGGGGCATGGTCTCCTTCACTTCATTTTAAGGCAATCACGAGACAAGGTTTACTGAGAAAGAGAAGGATAGGTTTACAGAATAAGAAGAAGATACAGGCTTAGACAGCAAGATATGTTCACCATAGACAACTAACGAGCCCCCGTTGTCATGAAAAGAAAAAGGCAAAGAGGTGAAGGTTCTGGTCCAGGTTCTGTTTTATACTGCCTGGGGCAGAGTGGCCTTGTGGTTCGGAGGTTAGCTTGGAACCCGGTTCTTACTGCTCCTGTGAGCCTCTCAGAGAGCCCGTGTGTGTGTGTGTGTGTGTGTGTGTGTGTGTGTGTGTGTGTACCTGATAAGCAGCTCCTATCCTACCAGCCAAAGTCAAGTTCACTGCCCACCTTTCTCTGGAAAAGGGAATACACTGGCTGTGAGGAACCAAGTGCACAGGCTGCTACCCCCTCCCTGGAGAGCACGGGGCTCCCGGCCTGGTGTGTGCAGACACCCTCACTCCGCAGGACTCAGCCCCACCACCCCCTTCTTTCCTGCTGCACCACAGGGCCACCTGCAAAAAATGGGCACGTCCCTCAATTGAATGAGTAGCCATGGGAGGTGTGACCTGGGCCTGCGAGGTCTTCAGCTGGGAGGCAGCACCGGCTGATGGAAACCAGCCACATCACACCTGCTCACGGGAACGGCTAGTTCACATCTACTCTGAGTACCCTGATCCTGACAGGGGTGCCTGTGAGCTTCAGGAGCTGATAAAATCATTAACTGAACTGGGTTGAGTATTAACTCGCAAGTTCTCAGAGTTGAAGAGTCTGTACGACATTATACTGTCCGGTTCCTTCCTGTCATGTGTTTCAAGCCATCAGTGACCTCTCATGCAGTGAGGTCACACAGCGGGTTTTAGGCTGCTGGGTCTCACAGTGTTTCTCCCAATTCCGGCTGCTGAAAGAAATTTTCATATGTTTCAAGAAATGTTAAAAAACATTTCTTTTTATGTAAAAATTCTTTATACAGTGTGGCAAGGATGTCAATAAATTATAATTTTTATATCCTTTATTGGAATTAAAATACTTGGTCTTTTCATAAGTATGTGTTTGTTATTAAAGTACTATCCAAAAATCACATTGCTATAATTACTAATATTATACATCTAATGTGAAAGTTACATATAAGATAGTTATACCAATTATCATGCTACTAAATACTTTCAGTGAAGGATTCATATTTTTGATATTCTTATCAGCATTCTTGTACACATTAATATAACCCCAAGGCACCTTGAATCTTATCTTCTCAATATTTGGCAGTTTCATCAGTAATCTCAGGGCATTACTCAGAGCATATCTCAGCGTACACTCAGTGTATACTCTTTAGCTGACACCAAGGAAAATTTATTTTCTTGCATTTAAAATATAACTGTGATCAGTATTAATAAGTTCCTAGGATGACATTGCCAGTCATGGTCCACTTGCTCCAAAAGTAATTTCTTATGTTTACAATCCACAAAGTGGGCTTTTAAAAAATTATGGAATGATTGTGGCATTTTTAATTAGTGAGTTTTCTGGTTGTGTAAAATCATGACCTCAGCAATAACAGTAATAAGCATATACGTTAAACATCCCAGAGAATTATAGAATGACCTAAGAGAACAACAAGCAACACACAAATAAAATGAAGGACCAAATCAAACCCTCTTTTATTTTTTGCAGTTTTTGGCTGGGGCTAGGTTTGAACCCACCTTCAAACACTCTTTTATCTCTGTCTGTGTTCTGGTTTCTTTAAATGACACTTTGGGCGTATCTCTGCAAAGGCAGGTGGCCTATCTCTGCTGTGTGTCCAGGACAAGCCTGACTGCTTTGGAGTGCACTTTTTCCCAGTTGGGATCAATGAACGTTGACTGCCATGGCCCTCGGATGTTGGGGAGTTGAGCAGACAGCTGCCGGCCTCTGCATCTGATTTTCTGAAGGGCATCTGGGTCACGTCACCTGCTCTTTGTCTTTGTTGGCAGAAGTCCAGTCCTTGTAACATCTTACTTTTTAAGAAATAAGAGTTCTAAATTTCTTTCAGTCTTCCCATGACTGAGACATAATACAGATGCAAAAGTATGGCTTTCTCCATGGATCTAGAGCTGTGTGTCCATGTAGGGACGTCCTGACACTCCCTGACCTGTGCTGCTGCCGTTACTGCCCTCCATGGATCTAGAGCTGTGTGTCCATGTAGGGACGTCCTGACACTCCCTGACCTGTGCTGCTGCTGCCCACCCTGCTTCATGACGTCTGAACAGCAAATTGACCTTTCTGGAAGGCTCTGAGTAAAGTACTAACCCTACATATGATAGGCAAAAGAGGAAACCACTTCCAAATTCCAGTTACCAAAATAATTCCTAGGGTACTTTTGTATATTTTTTAAAACAGGCACATTTAAGTCAGTTTTTTTTTCTTTTTCAGAATTGTCTCTGAGCACAGACACAAAGCTGATCAGAATCTTATTTTAATTTATTCACGATTCCATTCCAACAATAATTATTTCAAAAATTGATTCCCCAAATGTTCCTTAAAATTGGTGACCTTGGGGACTTACCTTAGTCAGCTCCTATTGCTTAAATAATTATGTACAGTATTCAGATTCTTCTTGGGGTATTAGCTACATTCAAAGCAGACTTTTAAAGTTAAAAACAAGGCAAACTTAATAGTTATTAAATGTTGAAGACACAATGACTACCTGCATTCACTTTTTTGTTTTGTTTTTATTTCCATTTTTCTTTTGAGACAGAGTCTCACTGTGTTACCCTGGGTAGAGTACTGTGGCATCATAGCTCACAGCAACCTCAGACTCTTGGGCTCAGCTTCCCAAGTAGCTGGGACTACAGGTGCCCACCACAGTACCTGGCTATTTTTAATAGAGATGAGTTTTGCTCTGGCTCAGGCTAGTCTCAAACTCCTGAGTTCAAGCAATCCACCCTCCTCAGCCTCCCACAGTTCTAGGATTACAGACCTGAGCCCCTGCACCAAGTCGTCACCCTTTTGAATTTTATATTTTCCTTTGAGTCAGTAGATTGGGCATAATGTTATAGAACATTTTCAGTCAAATCCTGGTTTTAATAATCACAGTTGTACTCTAAAGAATACGATACTTTATACAAAATCAGTTTGTATTGATATTAGAGAAATACAAAAGTCACCTGCAGCAGACAGAGACCAGGCCGTCCCCGCCTGGTGGAGCAGTGTAGTCACCTGGTGTGGACCTGACTTGGGGATGTGTCCACACCGTGCCCTCTATATTTCCTTCCAAAAAGGTTATATTAGTGGGTGGCACCTGTGGCTCAAAGGAGTAGGGTGCCAGCCCCATATGCCAAAGGTGGCAGGTTCAAACCCAGCCCTGGCCAAAAACTGCACAAAAAAAACAGTTGTATTAGTTTGCAGTCCCACCAGCAGTGTAAAAGTGTTCCCTTCTTTCCACATCCATGCCAGCATTTGCAGTTTTGAGATTTTGTGATGTGGGCCATTCTCCCTGGGGTTAGATGATATCTCAGGGTGGTTTTAATTTGCATTTCTCTAATAATTAGGGATGATGAGCATTTTTTCATATGTTTGCTAGCCATTCTTCTGTCTTCTTTAGAGAAGGTTCAATTCATGTCTCTTGCCCACTGATATATGGGATTGTTGGCTTTTTTCATGTGGATTGACTTAAGTTCTCTATAGATCCTTGTTATTAAGCTTTTGTCTGATTCGAAATATGCAAATATCCTTTTCCATTGGATAGGTTATCTATTTGCTTTGGTTGTTGTCTCCTTAGCTGTAGAGAAACTTTTCAAGTTAATTAAGTCCCATTTGTTTATTTTTGTTGTTGTTGCAATTGCCACGGCAGTCTTCCTCATAAAGTCTTTCTCCAGGCTGATATCTTCCAGTATTTTTCTTATTCTTTCTTTGAGGATTTTTATTGTTTCATGCCTTAAATTTAAGTCCTTTATCCATCTTGAATCAATTTTTGTGAGTGAAGAAAGGTGTGGGTCCAATTTCAGTCTCTTACATGTGGATATCCAGTTCTCCCAGCACCATTTATTGAATAGGGAGTATTTCCCCCAGTGTATATTCTTGTTTGGTTTAACAAAGATTAGATGATTGTAAGTTGTTGGTTTCATTTCCTGGTTTTCTATTCAATTCTAAACGTCTATGTGTCTATTTTTGTGCAGTACCATGCTGTCTTGACCACTATGGCCTTGTAGTACAGCCTAAAATCTGGTATGCTGATGCCCCCGGCTTTGTTTTTACTGCTAAGAACTGCCTTAGCTATATGTGTTTTTTTCTGGTTCCATACAAAATGCAGAATCATTTTTTCCAAGTCTTGAAAATAGGATGATGATATTTTAATAGAGATGGTGTTGAATCAGTAGATTGCTCTGGGAAGTATAGACATTTTAACAATATTGATTCTTCCCAGCCATGAGCATGGTATGTTCTTCCAATTGTTAAAGTTCTCTGCTATTTCCTTTCTTTGGGTTTCATAATTTTCTTTATAGAGGTCCTTCACCTCTTTTGTTAGGTATATTCCTATGTATTTCATTTTCTTTGAAGCTATGGTTGTGTCTTTAATTAGACTCTCATCTTGGCTGTTATTGGCATATACAAAGGCTACTGACTTGTGGACATTGATTTTATATCCTGAGACATTACTGTATTTTTTGATGACTTCCAGGAGTCTTGTGGTTGAGTCTTTGGGGTTCTCTAAGTATAAGATCATATCGTCGGCAAAGAAGGAGAGTTTGACCTCCTCTGCTCCTATTTGGATGCCCTTTATTTCCTTCTCTTGCCTAATTGTATTGGCTAGAACTTCCAGCACTATGTTGAATAGTAATGGTGACAGAGGAAAACCTTGTCTGGTTCCAGATCTAAGTGGAAAAGCTTTCTGTTTAACTCCATTCAGTAAAAGATTAGCTGTGGTTTTGAAATAGATAGCTTCAATCAGTTTAGAAATGTGCCACGTATGCCTATACTCTTCAGTGTTCTAATTAGAAAAGGATGCTGGATTTTATCAAATGCTTTTTCTGCATCTATTGAGAGGATCATTTGGGCTTTGATTTTGCTTCTGTTAACATGGTGAATAACGTTTATGGATTTACATATATTAAACCAGCCTTGCATCCCTGGGATGAAACATACTTGATCATGATGTATGACATTTTTGATGATAAACTGCAATCTATTGGCTAAGATTTTGTGGAGAATTTTTGCATCTATATTCATTAGTGAAATTAGTCTGAAATTCTCCTTTTTGGTTGGATCTTTTCCTGGTTTGGGGATCAGGGTGATGTTTGCTTCATAGAAGGTGTTGGGGAAGATTCCTTCCTCCTCAATTTTTTGGAATAATTTCTGCAATATAGGAATCAGCTCTTCTTTGACGGTTTGATAGAATTTTGATGTGAAGCCATCCGGACTAAGGCATTTTTTTTGTTGGGAGATTATTTATTGTTTCTTCGATCTCAATGCTTGAAATTGGTCTGTTCAGGAGATCTATTTAATCCGGGCAAAGTCTAGGGAGAGGGTGTGATTCCAAGTATTGATCTATTTCCTCTACATTGTCAAATGTCTGGGCAGTTTCTCTTTTTTTCTGACTGCAGAAAAAAGTACAAAAAATAATTAGTAAGAAGTGCTCCTTATGACATTGGGAAAATTACTGAGATTAAGAAATTATGATTAATTAGAATGGATAATTATCAAAGGCTGATTTTCTCATAAGCCCTGTTGCATGGACTTACATGCTCTTTGTGCAGGGGGCTGGTGTTCTGCGTCTTTACAAATACTCATTTCAAGTTTTAAAAAGTTGATTTTAAATTTTGTACTTTTCCTTTTAGGCCAGAAACCATGGAGACCTTCAACAGTGAATTTACCACTTTCGAGCTCTGTTAAAAGAAGCTCCAGCTGCCTTTCATCCTCTCATCTCAGATCAAGAAGCGTAGCCACCCGGTCACTATCTAGAGCTGCTTCTGAAATTTCAGAAATTGAATATATTGATAGCAATGACCGGTATGAGCTTTTCTTAGATGACACTGCTGATCAACAAACCTTAGACAGTTTGGAAAAAGAATTAAATGGGATGAGAAACCTTTCAGGTAATGGGATTTTTTCATTGTTGTTAATGTTAACTTGTTAACTCTGCCCTCTGCCTGATTCTTTGTTTCCCCCCCATGAGAAGCAAACAAGCAGGCTAAGAAAAAAGACATCCATTTTCCCTCCTTAACCACTAATTTTTTGTGTCTGCTTTTTTGTATATCCTAACATCACCCTGAAAATGTTATAAAAACATGTGGAGGCCTGGTCACATCAGAGGTGGTCTCGGTGGCCTCCGTAACACACAGTTGAACTGTGGCATGAGGACTGTGATGGGCACAGAGGAAAATATGTTTCTATTCTTTCTACAAACTCAGTGAAGGGTTAGTTTCCCTTTTTTTTTTTTTGCAGTTTTTGGCCGGGGCTGGGTTTGAACCCACCACCTCCAGCATATGGGGTCACCCCCTACTCCTTTGAGCCACAGGCACCACCCCAGTTTCCATATTTTTATGAAAGCCACCATCCAACGCACTCGGAGAATTGAGCTTAAAATCTTTTTTAAAGCGCCACTTTTCTGGCCTCGATGTGTACACAGTTCTTTAGGGGATCTTATTAAAATGCAGATTCAGATTCAGTATGTCTGGGCTGTGGTGAAATTCCGCACAGCTAACAAGCTACCCAGGTAATGCTGGTACTGTCAGCTGTCAGACCACAGCTTAAGGAGAAATTACACTGGTGCATTCTATTTCTAACCTTAATGAACATCGTCTAGCAAATAGCAACCATATTTTTGAACATGCAAGTCTAGCTCAGTAATGAAGCATCAGGGAAAGAGATCCTTCTGTTTTCATCAAGAAGGCAACTCGCTCAGCGTGGAAGAAGCCAGCTGCAGATTCAAGACACAGGCTGCAAAATTCTCTGGTCCTGTGTATTTCACATTTGCTCGCTCTTTTTCCTTTTTTTTTTTCTGGTAGTGGTCTCCTTTGACCTTACAATAATGACTTCACTTTTTTTCTAAAATGATACATATTTGTTTAGTAAATTTCAAGCAGTACAAAACACACACAAGAGAAACCAAAGCCCTCACAAAATCTGCAATGATAATTATTAACATTTAATGAGAATTATTCAAAATATGTCTTTATATATCATGAATGTACATATAAGAACACATTGTTAGAATGATGGATAGCCTGAAGGAAAGATGCAATAATTTTATGAAAATATATTTATGTTCCCCATGAATTTATTCTGTTATTATCTACCCCAAAAGTTCTTTTCTCTCTACATCCAAACCAGCATGTGCTTTTTTGAGACTTTTTGTTTAGAACCATTCTTACCGGAGTTGGGTGATATCTCACTGGTTTTGATTTGCATTTCCCTGATAATTAGAGATGTTAAGCATTTTTCATATGCTTATTGGCCATTAATGAATCTTCTTGACATAAGTTTCTGTTCATGTATTTTTCTCCCTTTTTTATGGTGTTGATTTTCTCTTGCTGATTTGATGATGTTCCTTATAGATTATGGTTTTCAGCCCTTTATAGGATGTGTAGCATGCAAATATTATCTCCCATTCTGTAGGTTGTCTATTCACTCTATTGACTGATTGGCTGTGCAGAAGGTTTCAAATCAAGTCTATTTACTAATTTTTTTTATTGCTGTAATTATCTTTGTGGTCTTCCTCATAAATTGTTCACCTAATTTGATGCCTGTAAGATTCTTCTCGAGATTTTCTTCTAGAATTCTTAAAGATTCATGTCTTAGATTTAAGTCTATTATCCATCAAGACTTAAATTTTGTAGGTAGGGATAGGTGCAGAGTCTGTGTCAGTCTTCTTTATATGGCTACCCAATTTCTCCAGCATCATTTATTAGATAGGAATTCTTTCCCTCAGTGTTTTAGTGTGTGTGTGTGTGTGTGTTTTTTTTTTGTCTGCTTTGTCAAAGATCAGGGGAAATATGAAGATGGTTTTCTATCTGATCCAGAGGTATATGCCTCTGTTGTTGTGCCACTGCCATGCTGTTTTGGTTACCATAACTTTGTTGTATAGCTTAAAGTGTGATAAAGGGATATCTTCCAATTTTTTTTCTTATTGATTAAGGTAGCTGTGGCTATTTGGGGTCTTTTCTGATTCTACATGAAGTATAGAACTATTTTTTTTACTATATCTGTGAAAAATGATGCCAGTATTTTAATGGAAATTGCACTGAACATGTAAATCACTTTGGGTAGTGCATTGGATTGGATTCTGCCAATCCAGAGCATGTTACATATTCCCATCTGTTTGCAGCCTCTGAACTTTTCTTCCTCATTGTTTTGTAGTTCTCTCTGTAGGCATCTTTCACCTCCTTTTAAAAATATATTCCTAGATATCTGATTTTCCTTGTTGATGAGTTAAAAGCTATTGAGTCTTTGATTTGATTCTTTGTTTGACTGCTGTTGGCATATATAAATGCTATGATTTGTATATATTGATTTTGTAACCTGAGACTTTGCTAAATGTATCAATTCCAAAAGTCTCTTGGCAGAATATTTGGTGTTTTTGACATTAAGATCATGTTGTCAGGAAAGAGTGATAATTTGGTCTCTTCTGTCCTGATTTGGATGCCCCTGATTTACTTCTCTTGTCTGATTGCTCTAAGAGCACCAGTGCTATGCTCAGTCAGTGTGGTGATAGTGGGCAACCTCGTATGGCTCTAGTTCTTAGAGGGAATGCTTTCAGTTCCCCATTCAGTATGATGTTGACTGTGGTTCATCATATGTCACTTTTATAATTTTGAGGTAAGTTCTATCTATGCTTATTTTGTTAAGTATTCTTATCATAAAAAGTTCTGAGTTTTGTCAAATGCTTTTTCTGCATCTGCTAAGAGGATCATATGGTCTTTGTTTTTGCTTCTATTTATGCAGTAAATTACATTTATTTATTTAAGTATGTTGAACCATCCTTATATCTCTGGGATAAAGCACACTTGGTCAAGGTGGATAATATTTTGATATGTAATTGAATTTTATTTTGTGAGAATTTCATTGAGAAGTTTTGCATCTCTTTCATCAGGAATATTGGTCTATAGCAGTGGTTCTCAACCTTTCTAATGCTGCAACCCTTTAATATAGTTCCTTGTATTGTGGTGACCCCCAACCATAAAAATATTTTTGTTGCTACTTCATAACTGTAATTTTGGTGCTGTTATGAATCGTTAACATAAATATCTGGTATGCAGGATGGTCTAAGGCGACCCCTGTGAATGGGTCGTTCAACGCCCAAAGGGGTTGTGACCCACAGGTTGAGAACCACTGGTCTATAGGTTTCTGTTACTGTTCTGTCCTTTGCTGGCTTTGATATCAAGGCAATATTGACTTTGTGAAATGTTTTAAGGCAAGTTCCTTCCTTCTCAATTGTAGGAATAATTTCTGCAGTATAGATACCAATCCTTTGTAGGTCTGGTAAAATTCAGATGTGAAACCATTTAATCCAGGAAATCTTTTTGTTGGAAGGGTTTTTTTTTTAATTATTTTTTTATTTGCTGCTTTAGTTTTGGTGCTTGATCTTGGTCTTTTCTTTGTATTTCTCCCTAATTATTCCTAGGGAGGCTGTGTGTTTCTAGGAATTTTTCCATTTCCGCTGTGTTCCAAGTTTATATGCATAGACACTTTTATAGTATTCAGAGATGATATTTTGTGTTTCTGCGGTAGTAGTTGTGCTTTATACTTCTCATTTCTTTTTTTAGGACATAAAATTATAAGTTAATTTTATATTAAAAAGAGAGAAAGGGGAAAGAGAAGAGAAAGAGAGCAGGGAATGTGGAGGGGAAGGTCACAGGGAGAGAAAGGAGCAAGGAAATGGTTTGACGTCCCACAGAAGGAAAGGAAGAATGCCCACCCTTCTCACTTCTGATTGAGCTTTTCAGAGTCCTTTCTTTTCTGCTTCTGGTTAATCTGGTCAAGGCCTATCAATTTTGTTCATTCAAAGAACCAAATTTTTGCTTCCTTAATCTTCTGAATATTTCTTTTATTGTCAATTTCATTTAGTTCTGCTTTGATCTTGGCTTTTCTTTTCTTCTTCTGGTTTTGGGATTGGTTTGCTCCACACAGGAACATCCCAAAGTGGCCATGCACAGCCTCAGAGCCTGCTGCGTCCTTGCAGGAGAGCCTCAGAGCCAGGACCAGGAGGACCTGGAAATAGGGCTTCTGAGCAGGGCCTCTGAGCTAGAAGGGCTGTACAGTTGGTGAGACTGATCCTATATGAAGGGTGCAGTTGGGGCCAAGCAGGCTGGAGGTAGCTGGGGCCTGTAGGGCAGAGTTGAGGTCAAGGAAGTGATAGGCTGTTATATAGGCGCAGGTGCCCAGTGGATGTCAAGATAGGAAGGCAGAGGTCAGCCCTGACGTGCCAGGGCCACAGAGCTCTCCACACTCCTCTCAAGACCTGCTGAAATAGCCACCCCTAAGGTTGGAGCTACTGTGCCTAGCATGAGAGCCTCTGAGTCAGGACTGGGGTGGGCTTGAAAGCAAACCTGAGCAGGGCTTCTTAGCCACAAGCAGGGCTGCACCGATGGTGGGCCAATCCAAGCTGGAGGGCAGAATCAGAGCCAAGCAGGCAGTTAGGCAGCTGGGGTCTAGAGAGCAGAATCAGGGCTGAATGAGCTACAGTCTTGTCTGCAGGCACAGGCGCACCGTGGATGCCAGATTGGGTGGGCAGAGGTCATAGCCCCACCCAGGACCAGCTGAAGCAGTCACTTAAAGCTTTCCAGGTTGGAGCCTGCAGTGCTCTGCTCAATTCCTATCCTCTGATTCCATTGAGGAGTACAGGAAAAGTGCTTAGCTTCAAGTTCCAAGGTGTGGTTCAGGGAAGCTACAAATCGTATACACTCTCTCCTCACCCCGGTGTGGACTCGACAGGGTGCACCTGAGATTTCAGGATGACGTTAGCTGTTGACCAGTCCGCATCACGCCATTGTCTGGTGGATTGTCTCTGCACAGACTCCAGGCAGGTCCCTGGTCTGACTAGGTAAGAAGTCTGTCTGTAGGGGGTGGAGGAAGCTGTCTTGCAGTTCAACTTGTA